GTAGCTTAGTGACCCCGCTGCCGCCTCGCCCGACCCCGCAACCTGCTTCTGAGTCGTGGTTTTTTTTTTTCTCTCTTTGCCCGGCTCCCCTCCGCTCCTTGCCCAAGGTAGGGAAGCCCAGCAGGAGCAAGCACAACACGCTGCCCGGCGGCACCCTGCAGATCCGCTCCCTCGGCAAGGACGACCACGGCGAGTGGGAGTGCGTTGCCACCAACATCGTCGCGAGCATTACTGCCAGCACCCACCTCACTGTCGTAGGTACGGGCAGGGCGGGGGGACGGGTCCCTGGCTAGCGTCCCCCGGGCAGTGTGTTGGCCAGGCAGGAGGGGGGGATGCTTCCCGTGAAGAGCAAGGTCTCCTTTAAATGTTATTTGCTGGTGAAACTGCCTTTTTCTGTTATCCTGCTCTGTTATTTCGGCCACCTGCGGACACAGCTGTCCTGCTGCTATTTCTAGCAGAAATCCCAGGTGGCCTCTGCTTGGTGCGAGGGGAGTCCCCTCGCATTATGGCTGGGAGCAGACCCCTTCCAGCCTCCTTGCCTTTGCTCCCCAGAGGGTGGTCTTGCTTCCTTTTAACCCATCCCTTTCCGCAGGCACAAGCCCTCACGCCCCGACCAGCGTGCACGTTGTGGTCGCCATGACCTCGGCCAACGTCTCCTGGGAGCCCGGCTACGACGGTGGATACGAGCAGACTTTCTCAGTTTGGTACGGCCCTCTGTGAGTCATCCCGGCATGCTTTGCTCTCTGCTTCTTTTCCTTCCTAGCCGACCCGAGCTTCGAGCAGCTGGGGGGAGGAGGGGGGGTGAGGGCGGCGTGCCCGTGGGCGTTACGGGGCTGAGATCCTGTTCGGTGCCTTGGAGAGATGGGTGGTGGTGGGATCACGTAGTTCCCGTGTTTCCTCTCCCTTCTGTGCCTAGCCAGTACCTCTGTCTGCCCCAGCAGGTTTTGTTCTGCTTACGGTACGAGGGAGACGCTTTGCATTCATGTAACTTTGCCTCTGGCATATAATTTCAAGATAAACTGTTTATGAAGCTTAACAGCCAGGGAGAGGATGGAAAATGCAACCTTTATAAAGTGCGTCCTGGAAGAGCTGTGACTAAGCAGAAACGATCTCTCCTTGCTCTGTGGCTCCCTGGAGGTGGTTAAATCCTGTCTGAGTTCACAACCAGCCGCGGTGAGATGCTGGCTGGGTCTGAGAAAAATTTGCCCCCGCTGCCCCTGCGCCAGCCTGCGCTACCCGGTACCTAAAGCCAGTGGGTGCATCCTGCCTTCCCACAGCGGGGCCTGGCTAAGCCCTGCTGGCTTTCCCCCGGGGCAGGGGAAGGCAGAACATAGCTGCGGCGAGGTCGGGGTTTCCTTTGGGCTCTGCGCTTGCACCAGCCTTCCTCTTCTGGAGAGCCGTTGTTGGAAACTCGGAGGGGATGATGCCGTCCCTTCCCAGGCGCGGGCCAGCGTTCTGCAGCACTTCTTGCGCTCTCTTTCCTTCCTTGCCTTAATTTGCCCTGATGGAGACTGCTGATAGAGTGGAGATGGGGTAGACGCTTCCTGTAATGATTTTTGCTTTGCTCCAGCCTGAGGCTGGACACGGTGGGGTGGGGCTGGACAGTCTGTCGGGAGACAGAAAGAAGGAATGGAGCGAGCAGACGGGAAAAATGAGCGAGTGCAGACCTTGCTCTGATGAAAACGTCCTTGGGAAGGAGTGGTTAAACCTCTCTGCTCTGGAGACCTGGCTCACCTTGGAGGGAGGTGGCAGCTGCTGCTGCTTTTGCTCTGCAGCCTGCTGGTTCCTGCCTTCTCCAGGCACTTCCAGACCCCACACACCGGGGAGAGCAGCCAGTGGCAGGGGAGGGGGATTGCATAGGGAATTTACAGGCTGCTGGGGGGCGGGCGGGGAAGCTGGGATACAGAGGGAGGCAGAGACGCATCTTGCCCTGACTGCAGGATGTGAGCCCTGGGAGCTGTGCTCCTCCCCGGGATCAGGGATCTGGGATGGTGCTGGGTCATCTAGTGCTGTCTGGAGAGCTGTGTGTTTTCCTCCCTGCTGTGGCTATGGGATGCTCAAGCGAAACATGGCTTCGCCTGCTGTGACGTTCATGCTCTCCTCCCGCTCCTGCAGTTGCGGATGCTGGAAATGCAAACCCCCCTCCCCAGGGATGGCCAGGACCACCACAGCATCCTGCCTGCATGCACGCTCTCCCAGCGCCGGGGAGAAGGGATGCGAAGGCGGTGTGGTCCAATGCCGACGACGGGCTGCTCCGCTGCCCTCCCTGCCTCCGCTGCGGTGGCGGGGCTTCCTGGGAGCTGTAGTCCCAGCTGGAGCCGTGGCCGTACAGAGGCTTTTCTGCCCACAGCCACTTGGTTTGGTGGAGGCACGCTGCACATGCATAGCTCTCCACCGACTTGCTTGTTCCCATAGCTTGCTGCTGCTTCTCCTGCCTTACTTTTGCTCCCTTTACAGCGGCATTATTTGTGTTTTACCTCCGACTGGCTGTATGCCGGCGGCTACAGATATGCCTGCTTCCCTATGCAGAGCAGGCCATCTGCAGTAATCCTTCCCAAGTCCTCTGCGGACACCATCGAAACCTGCAGCCGAGGGCTGGGGCTCCCTAGAGCATCTCTCTAACACGAGCACTTGCAGTATCGTTGCAGCGTGGTGATGCTGCTTCAGGACATGGGGCTCTTGCACCGTGCTGCTTCCCGGCGAGGTTGTGGCTTGCGGAGGTGGCTGCACGCTCCTGTACGCTGGGGTTGCGCTGGGACGGCTCTGGGGGCTTTTTTTTTACCCTGGGTTTGTGGGTTAGACCCCAGCAGAAAGGCTGTGTCCTGCCCTCCTTGGAAGTGCCTCTGCTGCTCTGCCAAACCCTGAGTTATGCCCTGGGCTGTGCTGGCAGCCCCCGACTTGTGCAAATAGGGCAAAAATGGTGATTTAGTTAAATGTCTCTTGTGGGATTGCATGTACAGGGCTACAGCTGAGGGAAAACTTGGCTCTAGCTCGGGAGCTGTTGAAGTATAAATGGGAACAGGGCCCATCTCCTGCTCCAGCTATCCTCTTTGCAGCACTCACGGGAGTAAAAAATGCGCCAGCTTCCACTTTAACCGGTGGTGTCTGGTGGAGATAGCCTCAGGGCGGGGCTGTGGGCACTGCTTTTGTCCCTGACCGGGCTCTGAGGGTGCAGGTGGCGCACAGCGGAGGGGAGGGCTGGTAGCCACGTCCGTGTGAGCCAGGGGATGCTGGCACGGCACAACGGGACGGTGCACGGTGCCTGGCAGTCCTCGTGTGCACTGTCCCCGAGCCAGCTCTTGGGTGGCGAGCGGCTGCCCCCCGCCCATACGCATCCCTGCTGTCAAACCAAACCATCGCTCGGGAAAGCTCCATTTTCGCTCGAGAAGTTAATGCTGCCTCTTTGTCCTCCCTGTCAAAGGCACCTTGCCTGAGGATGCTCCCTTCTCTCTCGGCAGGATGAAGAGAGCCCAGTTTGGCCCCCACGACTGGCTGTCTCTGCCTGTGCCAGCTGGTTCCAATTGGCTTCTGGTGGATACCTTGGAACCGGAGACTGCGTACCAGTTCAGTGTCTTGGCTCAAAACAAGCTGGGCACCAGCTCCTTCAGTGAGGTGGTCACTGTGAACACTCTAGGTGGGTCCTCCGTGGGCACAAGTGGAGGAGGGGGAAGGGATTCAGGAGGTCCTTGGGGAGAAGTGGCCCTTGGCCTTGGTCCATGCATCCTGTCTGCTGGAGCCAAAGATGGTGATCAGCAGCAGTCATTTCCAGCCACATAGAAGATAGTTTGTGGAGGGTCATGGATGAAGCTTGTAGACTTTGCTGGGTGCATGAGGCTCCTGAAAGCTTGTCCTAAGAGGCAGCGTAGGAAAGCTGTACTGTACCAATGACCTTTCAGATCTTCTTTAAGTTCAGTTGGGGCCAGGAGATATTAATAGAGCACAAAATCACTTGCGTGCAGCTCAGAGCGGGAGCTAACATAAAGGGCCTCGTGCTGGTACCTGCCTTGGGGCTGTATCGGGTGGAGGTGGGAGGAAGCAGGAGGTTTTCTAACGCTGTGCTCCTTTTCTCGGAGTCACTGAATCGTTAGCCCCCTGCTTCTTGGAAAGCCACTTTTGTATCTCTGTGGTAAGACAGCCCGTGTCTGAGATGTGCTCTAAACTCCTGGGAGGTGGGAACTGCTGCCACCAGGGTGGTCTGTCTGCTGCTGCTGGGGCACACGTGGGAGATTATGCTCTGCGCTTTCCCTCGCCCCGTCTCAAAGGTGTCCCTGTCCCATCTGCTCTGTCTCCAGCATTCCCTGTAACAACTCCAGAGCCTCTGGTGTTGGTTACCCCACCGAGGTGCCTAACAGCCAACCGGACACAGCAAGGCGTCCTCTTGTCGTGGCTTCCTCCCGCTAACCACAGCTTCCCCATCGACCGCTACATCATGGAGTTCCGTGTTGCGGAGAAGTGGGAGATCTTGGACGATGGCATCCCGGGGACCGAGAACGAGTTTTTTGCCAAGGACTTGTCCCAGGTAAGCGGGGGCTGCCCACACCATACCTCTGGTGTTGCACCGTCTGCTGTAGCTGTGGGGAAGCTTGTGGGGTGGCTCGGTCCCCGTGCTGGCACCTTCGAGGAGCTGGGGAAGGTTGGAGGCTGCGGTGGGGGACCTGACGGATGTCCTTGGTGTTTCAGGACACTTGGTACGAGTTCCGGGTCCTCGCGGTCATGCAGGATCTCATCAGCGAACCCAGCAACGTTGCTGGTGTCTCCAGTACAGGTAAGGAGTGGCTCCTTCTTCTCTCCCCAGCTGTGGGGGGGTCATGCATCAACAGTACTTGCTTACAAAGCAATGACCGGCTTTGTGCTTTGGCCCGAGATGCTTGTGCTTTGAGCTGGGTGATGGGCGCACGGTTACGATCAGTGTCCTGGGAGTGCTGCCGGCCCGCTGCTGCCTCCCGATGCAAAGAGACCAGTGGCACTGGGAGCAGGCAAGGACAAACCAGCCCATTTAGTCCTTCCCGCGGAGAGAGGTGTCGTCAGGTGTCTGCTGGTGCAGCGTGACAGCGCATCTCGGCTCTGCCGGGTGCCGGGAGAACAAAGCTCCGACTGGGCATTGCGCATCCTGGAAATGGGAATGAAAGGTGGAGAGGGGGAAACGTAGCACTGCAGTGCAGAGTCCGAGGGGAAAAAGGCTACGCAACAGGAGGCTGCAGCACGCTGCAGCTCGTGCACGTACCCTGCGCCCCGGTCCAGCTCGGAGGCTGCCCCTCGAGTAAGGGGCAGGTGAGGGTACGTGGTTGCGGTGGGGAAGGCAAGGGCGGCAGGAGGAGATGGGGATGCGGCGAACCCTGCTTTTATGGCTCTGGTGGAAGAGGCGAGGAGCCACCCAGCTCTGCTGTGCGC